TTTTTTTTTTTTTTTTTTTTTTTTTTTTTTTTTTTTTTTTTTTTTTTTTTTTTTTTCATATTAAATCAGGAATAATCATACTTGCTACAAAATGTAAACATTATTTATTTCAATCCTTGTTATTTTGTGCATTTGAAAGAATAAGAAATACATTTTTTCAAAATCAACAAAATAGTTACTAGCTTTCAATTCAGAAAAAACATTTTACATCAGCTTTCGTCCATCCAAGTCCTCGACAGTAATTCAAATTTTCGCATTAGAACCGGGAAAAAAATCGTCATCGTTGGTTTAAGCTGTTGCATAATCCAATCGAGTGTTGAAGGACAAATCAATACTATCGCCAGAGCACTTACTATCGCTGGTGCAAAGAGCATCAAAGTAATCTAATAAATAACATAAAAAAATAAACAAAATTGAGTCGAATCGTTAAACTATCACTAAATTCAAGTACAGTAAATTATTATAATGATTTTATATAACATGATTTAAATTATTTATTATTCGTTTGTACTGGTTGCTTTGTACTAAAATACATTATTTTTCAATAATGCATTGCACGTAATTACTGATTTCGTTTGTTTACATTTCATGTAACCTAACTGTTATCCTAACTCTTCAAACTAACATAATTGCAAAATGTAAGGGATTAAAAATGTACATACGTGCCACATCCATGATACAACTAACCATCCAAGAAGTACTGTACCAGCAGTTTTTACGTATGGAGCAAACTTGAAATTGAATGAATCTTCCAAATAAAGTATTTTTTCTGGAATACGTGACATTAAATGTTCCATTTTATCCATTGTCAACTAACGGCAAATTTGATCAATTTTATTTAAAAAGTAGTTTTAATTTTTATTGAATGCATACCCGTTTTTTACGGTATGGTGTACATAGAGTCGTGAAAAAACCAAAATAAGTGTATGCACAGTTTTTTGTTTTATTTTTGTAAAATACTGATTTGGAATCGTCTAAAAAAACAATTGATGGTACAATTTCAAGTTTGAATGTTGCAATGGTGGATACAAGTTATTTAGTATTTCGAGAAAAATACTTAACTATACTGCGTGAAAAATTAAAAATTTTAAACAAGAAAAAACATAACTACGTATTGATCGATACCATGGAGCCATTAACTTTTAAACTTGTAATTACACTTTTATTTATTATTTCAACTATGTTACAATAACCTCTGTTTGTTAAGCTTACTTACTTGCTTTAAACTCAGCTGTTTAATCTAGTGTATAATTATGCACACTGTTGAAAATCTGTTTAATTTTCTATTTGAAATTAAACAGGCTACACACGGTTTGTGTAAGTTGCATTTGACACTAATGTCTAGTTATAAATACACAAATCTTGGGTATTTAAACCCTATTCCAACTATTATCAAACACTTACTTTGTGTATATTTATGAATATTACATCAAGTAAAAAAGTTGAATATGATTTATGTGATTTTAACAATTGATTTGTGTAATTAATAAAACAACAAAAAATTTTCAACTGCGATCTACTTTCCTCGAGCTCTATGTGGTATATCAAGATAATATATGTTGGGTACTAGAGGGGTGGAAAAAAATATTTTATTACTTAAAAAAGCTAAAGTCTCACAGTTGAAAAAAAACATTTTTTTTTTAAATCACAAAATGTAACTTTCACGATATTTTCATTATTCATCGAGATACAACGATTTTAAGGTTTTGAAATTTCAAATTTAAGAATAAGTAGCTACTGTTTTTAGGCTGTATGAGGTGTAATATGCCAACCTATATGATAAGTATTGGTGAACAAGGAACGAATACTTAAACGTTTCAAATGACCAAGGTCCCACAGTTTATTAAACAATTTTTTTTTTTATTTTTACGACAACGAAATATCGTCCTTTTTACGATGTCTGCTTTAAATACGTATAACAGCGGTTTTTAAATTTTCATAATTTTACGCTTAAAAATTTCAAATTTAGAAATTAGCCACTTCTTTTTTTGAGCTCTGTAGAGAATAAGAAGCCAATCTGTACGATATTGGAGATCAAACATTTAAACGTTAAAACTGCCTATATCCCAAGGTTTCTAAAATAAAAAAAAATTTTAATTGTATTTTTATGATCACGAATATTATCGTCCTTTTGGCGATGCGTCGTTTACGGATCTACAGCGATTTTCAAGTTTTCAATAGGTGTACGCCAAAAAATTTTATATTTTGAGAATAGCCCCTACTTTGTTTGGGTCTCTGCGTAATTTAATAAGCTTATCTGTAGCATATTGAAAATTATTCGCAAAAAAATTTTTTTTATTTCATTCTATGAAAATGAAATATTGTCCTTTTCGCAATATTTGCAATATTTACGAAGATACAGAGATTTAAGGATATTGATAATTTTAAGGTTGAAAATTCCAAATTTAGAGACTAGCCACTATTTTTTTTCGACTGTGTGTGGTTGAGTAAGCTAATCTGTGTAATACTAGTAATTTAAAATCAAATCTATGTATAAACATTTCAAGTGGCCAATGTCTCACAAATTTTTTTTTCCCTTGATTACGAATTATCGTTCTTTTCGCGATATTAGATTTTTTACAAAAATATAGCGATTTGAAAATTTCCATACTTTTGATCTTAAAAATTTCGAATTTTCAGAATGGCCACTAATTTTCATGAGTTCTAAGCAGGTTTATACAGACAATTTATGAAATATTGAAAATTTAATATCAAATCTAATAACATTTTAGTGGCCAATGCCTCACAGTTTCAAAATAGAAATTTTTTGATGATCATGAATAATCGCCCTTTTCGCTATATTCGCATTATTTGCAGAGGTATAGCGATTTGAAAATTTTGATAATGTTGATCCTGAAAATTTCTAAGCAAATTCATACAGCCAATCTGTGCAGTATTAGAAGTTTACAAACGAATATTTGAACATTTTAAGTGGCCAATGTCTCACAGTTTTGTAAAAAAAATTTTTTTTTAATTTACAATCAAATTTATGTATATTTCAAGTGGCCTAATTTTGATAATCTTGAACATAAAAATTTCAAATCTAAGAAATAGCCACAATTTTTTTCTAGCTCTATGCGGTTGAATAAGCCAATTTGTATGATATTCAAAATTCGAAACTAAAACTATGAACATTTAAAGTGGCCAATATTTCAGTTTCATGAATTAAATTGTTTTTTTGTGATTACGAAATTACGCCCTTCTAGTGAGATTCGCATTTTCAAAGATATACAGCGTTTTACAGTTTTTAATAGTTGTAAGCTCATAATTACAAATTTATAATAAAGCTACAATTTTTGTCGGCTTTGTGTACTTTAATCAGCCACGGTGTGCGATATCAGAAGTTCAAAAACAAATATTTAAATTTAAGAGAGAAAGTCTCACAGACTTTTCATTTCATGATCATAAACTATCGTTTTTTTTTGTTTTTTTTTTTTGCAATATTTTCGTTTTTTACGAAGGTATAGCGATTACAAAGCTTGAAAAATTTTGATTCTAGAAATTTCAACTTGAGAGAATTGCCAATATTTGTTTCAAGTTTTGAGCAGGTTTATGTAGCCTACCTGTGTGATAACAGAAATTTGTAACATAAATTTTATCATTTCAAGTGCCCACAGTTTCAAAATTGAAACTATTTTTTTTCTGTCATCACGAAATAACTTTTTTCCTACGATATTTGCATTTTTTACGGATATACAGCGTTTCACAGTTTTTAATAATTGAACTCATAAATTTTAAATTGAGAAAAAAGCCACAATTTTTTTTCGGGCTCTGTGTAGTTAAGTCAGCTAGTGTGTGCGACATCGAAAGTTTAAGATCAAATATTTGAACATTACTAGGGCAATGTCTCTCGGATTAAAAAAATTTTTTTTTTCTGTTTTCGTAATTATGAATTTTTATCCTGTTAGTGATGGCTGCATTATTAACAAAGGTACAGCGATTTGACAATTTTGACAATTTTTAACGGAACAATTTTAAATCTAGTAAATCGCTACTATTTTTTCCGGCTCTGTGTGATTGAATAAGCCAATTTTTGTGATATTAAAAGTTAAAAAATAAATATTTGGACAGTTCATGTGCCCAATGTCTTACAGTTTTAAACATAAAACATTTGTTTTTTCAGTGATTTCGAAAACGTCCTATTTGCGATATTCCCATCTTTCACGGATATACAGCGATTTACAGTTTTAAATAGTTGTAAGCTCATTAATTTCAAATTGAGGGAAGAGACACTTCTTTTCTGGCTCTGTAAGGTTAAATGAGCTAATATGTATGATATACAAAATTTATTAAGTTACATTTGTAATTATATATCTTACTCTATATTGCTTTAATTGAACTACTGTATACTCTGATTTGAAAATTGTGTAAGTCAAATTTTTTTTTTGGCATCTGTTTACAAATATCTTTTTTTTAGTAAACCAATGGAAATAAAAATTTTAACAATATCGAAAAAAATAAGTTTTTGGTGTTAACTTTTTACCAATCGGTGTTCAATCATATAAACGTTTCTCAGACTCGATTAAGTAAATTTGACTCCAGGCATGTATGAATAAAGTTAATAATTAGTTTATCAAGTATTTTATCAATCATAATTGAAACAAAAAAGTACTCGAGAGTATAATTACAAATCTCTCTTACACAGTTCGTCTGCGTTTTTAAAATAATATTTTACCATTATCTTCGCCTAACCTAAGTTAATTTTTATGCAGACAATATACTTACTCTTTTAATCAGCAGAAATTATTACGTTGTATATTAAAGACCCTGAAATAGGGAAAAAAAAGGATTGGATTTAATGCTGAGGCCGAAAAAAATTTAATACACGTTCTGAAATACACAATTAACCAACAATGTCATTCTTGTTTTATTTTTTGATATGTGTACACACATTGTTTAACAACGCTTGGAATTACGACTCTAAAAAATGATAACTCAATTGTACAGATTGTTTGATCCACAGGGTTAAAAAGCATCTTTTTTTTTTTTTAATGCCGTACACCTTTACTGAAGATTAATTGACTTTTCTTATTTAGCGATTAATGTGCCGTGTTTAACAATTGATTACATTAGTTACCTTACGCATGCTAGGCTTAAAAATTGCCGTTTTAAATTGTATTTCTCGTTATAAAAAATATGCTGTAAAAAAAAAAATTTAGTATTGCGTTTCTGCTTATTGAATTTCTAGGGTATCCAACTACAATAATAGTCCCGTTACACATAGTATACTAATGTGGCTGACATCGTCCACATCACTCTAGAGTATTGTCTTGATAAGTAGTAATAATATATTTAACATTTATGCAGTACTATTACAACAATGCATCTAAACTTGGTTTTCTTCTTCACAATAGTGAGTACTATTTTTAAATGCCAAAAATAAAATATCAAATTGTAATACTACTCGTATAAAACTGCGGTTTATTGTCAGAGTCGGGTTAATTACTTTGGGAGTGCAATAACTAAGTATTACTGCAGTAAACATTGCCAACAATTTTTTTTTTTTTTTTTTCATTTTGTTATTTAAAATATTTAGACGACGTTTTATAATAAGATTCATTCAAACATGTGATCATTTAAACAATTTACGTTAACTTTACAAAAATATTTCATTTTCATTGCTAATAAGCGTGTCTGTGGTTCAGGAATTTACATATGCTAAGTATATACATATGTATCTTTCTTGAAGAAAAGTTCACCGTCAATGTGACCCAAGTATTTCTACATAACGATAGATAAATTTATCATTACATTGTCGTGTAAGGGTTCGTTATTCAATTATTTACAAATTTAAACGGATACAATGCGTCAAGATGGAACCTATTGTAACTTTCGTAAAAATCAGTAAAATATTGTACAATCATCCAAGAGTAATGTTATAAACAAGCTGTAGTATGTTAGTGGCACATTAATGCGTGAAATTACAGTTTGCTCATAACTTCCTTTCCTTGGAAAAAAAAAAAATAATAATAATAATAATAATAACGCAAATTTCGTCAGGTATAAATAAATCATGCCTTACAAATTAAGTTTAAGCAATAATGATAATCATGACGTTTAATTTAACTATTGGTATCCAATAAACAAAATAGTCTATCGCATCCTTTGTTTCTAACATGAACCAATTTCATAAAACATAAGTAAAATAAACTACAAATCTTTCCTACGTAACAGTTTTCATTAACTTTTCTGTGTTCTGCATTGACAATTTAATAACAGCATATGAATAATAGATGCAAATATATGAAAACATACGTTTTTAAAATATATTATTAAAATGTAGAAATTTTCTTTCTCCCAATTGAGTTTAATCTACTAGTATAGGTACGTGTACATTAATCATATAGTTTGGGGATTTCTCGTTGAAAGAGGTTGCGTTTATTGTCATTAATATGCCTTGTACCTCATTAATACGTAAACAATGAACGAATTATTTGAGAATTAGTTAATAAGTTGGTCACGATAAAACATTGATACCAAGTCCTTATTGCGCAATACAGACTTCTACTATGATACAATACCTTGTACAAGTTTAACGCACTTTGCCATTATTCAAAGCAAAAGGAAATAATAAACGGTAAATGAACAAAATAAAAAGAAAAGTTTTAGTATCATCAGGTAATTGCGGGCGGTCAAGTATATATTCAATCAATGTCCCATATGACTAGACGGTGGATTATGGTTGATATCCTCATGTAATACAATAACTAATGCTCTTTACGATCGCTGTGATGGATAAACCTCGATTACGACTTTTTTTTTAAACTTTGGCGTTTTGCCGTCGTAAATCGTTTGGTATAATATAAGTAATGAAGGATCCAACAAAAAGGGTCGCGCAAAGTACAGTGTTTGCCCAATAGTCTCCCCAAATCTGAAAAAGATGTCTGTAGAGCAGGATTAATAAGATTCCGAAAATTTGCACCACTGCATTCAGCAAACCAGCTGATGTACTTTCCGGCTCGGGATACGTTAGTTCAGCCGCAAATTCGAAACCAACAGGCAAGTAACCAGTCATGAAAAATCTGCGGATCCAAAATAACACACGCATACGTATACGAGGCATCGAGTTATTATCATTGCATTAATTCTTTTCGTTTTTAGCTTTATATATTTACCCTAATAATCCTGCTGTCACATAGACAATGATGATTTCGTCCAAACCAATAGTAAACGTGAAAATGATCATGCCCAGAAAGGAGAAAATATAGATGGCAAGGGTTGTTTCTCTGGAGGTATGACACATAAATTAATTACCAGTATACGCATTTACATACTTATTTGGGCTGGTATTTTTCTGTATGTACTTACTTAAACTTGTGGGTTTTGTCTAAAACGACGCCGCAAACGACTGAACCCAACATCCCAGCGCACACAATGGTCAGTCCTATTCTACCGGCATCATCGTGGTGACCCTTTCCGGAATATTATTATTGTATTGTGAAATGAGCAGATTGTGATAAAAATATGTTGTTTTGTTTTTTCTTACTGGAAAATGCACCAAAACGATCGGATTAAGGAGAGTTCCAATAGCATAAAATATCCCTACGTTGATGGCGTAACTCAGCAAAAGTAATAAATAGCCTGTGTTTGTCACGAGTCTTTTTACCGATAGCAAAAAGTCTTCCGGCCTTTCCGACTCTTCCCGAACAGCCTGAGCTGGACTTGGTGGCAAGGAAGGTTGATTTTTAAAAACTGTAATCATCAAATAAATACAAAAATTTTTGAATCACGGCAAGTCTTATGAATAGTATACGTATTCTATATGGTGCTTTTTGTTTAAACCTTTTGTGGACGAATGACATTTACTTACACAATAAAGTGAGGACGAAAATAACCAATGTAAAGACCGCCACGATATAAAACATCAGTTTTAAGCCTTGGCCAATAACATTTAAATCCTCGGAGTCGCGCACGAGCATTGGTGGAAAAAGGAAACCTATGGCTATGCCAAGCTGAAAGAGTATTAATTAAGCATTTGTTTATAAGCCGTACTCCATATTGGTTAAGACTAAATTTCACTTGGATTTGTTTCTTTAACCAATCAATATACCTACTGCGTGCAAAACTAAATTTTAACATAAAAATACTAACAAATCATCATACTCTCGAAACTTTTTTTTCATCAGGATTAATGAAAAACAGAATACGCACCACGCTCGGAGGTTAAGAAATGCATTAGATTTCACGTGAATAAACGCCCGAGGCGAAGCCGACATTCTTAACCTCGATCACTAGGTGCGTGATATACTATTTCCAAGTAGTTTATTTAGTTAAAGTGAATCTAAATTAAATTAAAATTTAAAATTGGTTGTGTTAAAAGAGAAACAACAACGTACAAGTTTTTTAATCTTACTTAATTTTTCCGATGCAAAAAAATAAGATTCCATTATTGGATATACCTCGATGATTGTAATTTTTGTGCTACACCGTGAGTTATTAACTTTTCGCGTTTGAAACCTTTCAACTTGTACGATGGTATGAGAGAAATTTTGATAACTATAATAATTATTGATACTTCATACAAATGTCTGCGATACAAATTGATACTAAAGTCTTCACTCTAGCTTGAAAGCTACAGTTGGAATTTTTTCTGTTTTTGTTGGAGTACTTACATATATCTGTTGTATGTATGTTAATAACAGAAACTTATTCTTCCATAAAATATCCCACGTTTCTCCCAAAACATTGGCTAATTGAAAAAATTGATAATCTCATAGTAACTTTTTACGTATTATTATTATTATTATTTTTTTTTTTTATCAAGTTTTGTTTGTAAATATTGTATTTTTATTTTGAGCCTCATTAAAAGTACCGGACAATTCACGGTACACATATTATATGCTCAAAATATGGCGCGAATGTAAAATGAGCAGTACACTTTTGGAATAATGAACGGATACGCGGACACGAGTCAAGCGAATCAGTTACGTTTTCACGAGCGATTTAACGTGATATTAATAGAGACAAATATACGTACATGATACCTATATATTATGTCGGAGCCCCAGTACTATCCATCATGATCGTTAACCGGATAAGCGTACATCTCATCAGCTAATACGCATTTTAATGCAGGATACTCATTTGTCCTAACAATCAGATATTTCATTCAAGCTAACTACTAACTACATGACGTGCTTCACTTGTTTATTTTGCACTTATAATAGGATAAATTGTGTACATAATTAGCTACATCCTTTGTATGGTCTATTATATTATGTAGGACGTATACAATACGATTAGGCGCATGATCATAAATATAGTGCCAACAACAGTCGTCAGTTTGACAAAAATATAGTTTAAAGAGCGACCGATGGAGCGTATGAAATATATTGTGTCCAAGACATTTTTCTCATGTGATGATTGATAATGTAGATAATGTTTTGACAGTGATCATACAAGAATATTGTATATAGGAGACTTTAAAAATACGGTGGTAGCCGATTGTTTGAAAACAATATTTTCAACACTAGTTGAGTATGCTTTTTATAAACTTTTAATTCTTTGGGGAGCAAGTTTTGGTACATGAAAGTCAAGATTGAAAAAAAAAAAAAAAAAAAAAAAAAAGTACATTCATAAAAAGTTATAGTTACCTGATTACCAAAGACCCCGATGCTACATGCGCTACTAACTTGATCAGGACCAAACCAAACAGCAGCTAATCGTGCAGGCACCGAAAGAATAAAAGTTTGACTCAAAGCGACCAAGGTGTGGCCCAAAAATGTTATCCAAAATCCATCAGGACTGACGCTTAAGACTTTTATCCAAGAGCCTACGGCTGTTCCTAGAGCCCCCAAAATGACTGCGTAGCGGAGACCCTACGATAAATTAATGCTTTTTTTTTGTTTTTCATTCTTTCGGTACAAACAGCCAAACTAACGCTACTCTCGAAATTTTAACGTTACGTTGGATGAAAAATCAAGTTGCTTTTGAAAACGGTAAAATATACATCCCATGTACTTACGTAATGCCATATACTTACGAATCTGTCGAGAAAATAACTCGCTGGAAAGATGAACAAAATATACGTAAACATGTAAATCATGCTCGTCATGTCAACCGCCGTATCCGACACGCTGTAGTACTTTTTAACTATGTCCGTTATAATGCAATATTGAGTCCATTGCATGGCGTTGCTAGCGCTGTACAAAACGAAGATGATGAGAATCAACCACCTTCTTTTGTAAAGTTTCGTTTCTACAGCCTGTTGTCATAAAAAACAATGTCAATGATTATTATTACGTTTTTTTAAGTATTCGTCGCAATGTTTTTGCACCACTTAGTTTTTTCGCTACTTTTTCATATACGAGTACAGATTGATGTGCATCAATATTTATCAATATTTAATCAATGTGCTAAGCACGTGGCTGCAGCGCCCAAAACAAATTTTCCTATTCCCCTTTGAATTTATAAAAAAATAACAGTGTACAATTTTTTCACCCAGTAAAGTACCCCAAGCTTTCGATATTTTTCAACATTATAATTATCAATGAAAAATATGCATACCTGAGTAGGCTGAATGCCGCCTTCGATGGCTTTTACGTAATCCGAGGAGTTTATCATCTTGTATGAAAATTATGGAATAAGCCAAGAGCAAATTAATTATCTACACCATTTAGGATAGTTTTGGCCAAGACGGGAAAATTTTAATCGGTAGTTTGTTGGCAAGCCATTTTTTCATTTACACATCTGAAAGAAGAATAAGTGCTTTTTGTCCTACTATTTTTTTTTTCTATTTTATACGCGGTGTTGCGGCGACAGCCCCGTCATGGCGTTATTGTCGAAATTGTATACTGATGAAACATAAAACTACAATTATTTTTATTTACTCGTTCTCCCTCATGTATAATATAATATAGTATAGGTAAAACAAATAATAACTAGCTATATCATAAACTTTCTTTGATATGAGATACAACAGACAATAGATTAATTTATATCAATTTCAAGGACAGTGAAAAGTCAATGTTTCATTCGTCATTAACAAGTGTTGGTGGATACATACGTCGTACGCTGTTTGGTTATCTTATCAAGTTTCGAAATGTTTTTAACCGAATAGTTATATTTTATTGTTCGCATCATAGTATAAAATTTTTGTTGGGCATTTTTTACAACTGTTGATTGTTGAATGATGAAAACCTCTTAAAAATATAAATCTTATATCTACACGTATGTACTTGGATGTGATTAAAAAATTTTTTCCAAACTTTTACATGCCCACTGAAATTTTGAGTGAGTATTCCAAGTAAACAACGACCTTTTACACCAACGTTTTCCTTCACTTTAAACAAATTATTTCCAGGGTAGGCAGGGTAGGCTGTATTAAAATATGATTTTTTTATTGCCTGCTTACGTCATGAATTGTAAAAAAAAAAAAAAAAAAAAAAAAAAAAAAAAAAAAAAAAAAAAAAAA